TAATTAAGCATATAACAAGTATATTCGCCGACTTACGTCAAAGTGATCTTCACAGCATCGAATAATGGTCTTTGGAGAATAATTGTCATTTCTCTTTGCAGCTTGAAACCACTTTTTTCAGTTTTGGGTCAGAAGTTCCAGTCAAAAACAATTTATTTGGAAACTTTGTTGAAGTAGATTAGACAAAATATGAGTCAACACGGTTTTTTTCGGAATATTAGTGGTATTGTTATGATCACATGATGTTGATGGATAGTCCATTTTAATTTTTTCAATAAAATATTCCGAAAGTCGAAAAAATATGCAAAAGTATGAAAATTTAAAGCCAGCGACGAAAAAGTACGACCAGTGACAGACAGGAGTGACGTCATCGCAACCATAGGTTCGTTTTCGCGCGAAAATTTAAATTGTCAATTTAAAACCGCATGTTTTCCGATAAATCACAATGTTTTAATTTTTTAATATATCTGTGGTTTATTCTACATGGAATTCTTTAAAATGAAAACAAAAATAAAAATATTGCATCTTCCCTAAGCTTTTAATGAGTCAACTGGATTAATGTTGGTATATTTTCATTTTAATTCACACGCACCGAAACCTCTTCTCACCTCTGTTAAAGAAATATGTGCTATAGCTTTCGGATGCCATCGCAACTGTGTTTTGCAAATACATTTGGGAAATCCTTCTGATGTCAAACTTTAACCAACACCAACAAATTCTTAACTGTACGAAAATTATAAATGAATAAGTAGATTTATGTTATTCCAACATCAAAATTTTCAAATATTTACCATGATCATAAGAAAATCTTTTAAAACAAGTTTTTATAAAAAAAAAACTTATTGTTTTCTAATTTTTGATTGATGTCTTTTCATTTGATGCTCATATTATTATCTATACTAATGTTATAAATAGGAAAGATTTTAATATTTTTTTAAGCAAGTATTTGCTCGATGTTTTAATCTAAAGAAAATATTTCTACAGAAATTCCACGCGGACCAGACAGCAGATGGGACTCGAACCCGCACCCTTCGCTATCCAGGCGAATGCATTGGCCGTTATGCTACCGCGGCCCTAACAGCCGTGTCAAATTCTTTCTAGCCTTTCTTAAGCTGTAAGGCACATTAAACATCGAGCAGTTACATGCTTAAAAAATAAAAACATTATAACTATAATTGCTATTTCTTCTTTCAAATGTTTCATACTTGTCATTAGATAAGGTATTAATTTGACATTGTGGGTTACCTACAATGTGAAGCGATGGCACTGCCTTGCAGCTTATGAAATGAATGAAATATATAGGCACTAGACAGTAGACAGAAAGTGTAAACTCATTACGTGCATAAAGTCTTTTAAATGTACCTTCCTCGTTTCCTAACTGGTAGAGACCTGATAGATTAATGCTCATAATAACACACAAAACATTCCTGGGTGCTGCACGTCCTCTATCAACAACCTGTCCGTCGTGATATGGTTAAGACAATAAATGCTCAGAACGCGTCATGGCTTTTCTTGTCGTCATTGCCACAACGCGTTGAGATCGAATAGCATGTCAGCCACGGCACCAATTTTGCTCTTTGGTCTTTCTGTGATTGCCACAACACGAATTTCGCCATGTGATGTTTTACTGTGACCACAACGCGTTGTGAGCTATTTTTCCGCTCACTGAGCGTTTTCGATCTTTGAGCGTAACATATATACATATTATGGACACTAAATGATGGACATTAAAAAACATACATTACATAACATGTATCCTCAGCTGGACCGAAAAGGACCCAGTTCAGCATTGTGTCAGTTTGCACTGACGTTGATCTTGTACCTATTTGTAATAGTGGTAACTATAGAATCTTTAGTGGTGTACATCCATATCTGATATAGATTTCAGATTGTTTTTTTTAAATCGGACTAATACTTAGTGCCTAGAAGATTGACGCATTCAAGTGAACAAACAAACTTTATAGCTTTATAATATAAAGCTTTATAATAAGTATATAATTTAAGACTATGTTTACGACCTAAGCTTTCTTAGCTTTGTCTTGTCGACGTAAGCTCGAGGATTAAGTATTACATTTTAAAAATTCCATTTTAGATCATATTCCTAGCACAATTAATCTTTATAATTCAAGTTATTTTCCTTAGTAACCCGGTACTAAAATGTTGGCACATTTTATGTAATAATTAAAATTTTTGCCGGAGCTTTTCAGTTTTACATTTTCTGGATATGTGCGAACACTTCGTGTGATGGAGATAAATGTACGACCGCAAAAAGGCTCAGCTGACACCCTGTTTTTAATTATAATCCGACTTAATATTTCTTTTGTTGCTCTTCAGAACATTTGAAATAGTCATTATCATTGCGAACAGTCTTAATCAGAGGGCCCCAGCTTTTCAATTCAATCAATGTGTTGTAAAGGCATGTAATTGCACCTATTAACCACCAGTGTTATCATATCAGACCAGAACCGCCTACTGCTGGACATAGGCCTCCCCCAAGGAATACCAAACCAATCGGTCTTGCGCTGCCCGCATCCAACAGCTTCCCGCCACCTTTACCAGATCATCAGTCCACCTTGCTACCTACCAAAGCTGCGTCTCCCGGTACGCGGTCCCCACTCGAGGAGCTTTTCGCCCCAACGGCCGTCAGTCCTCCTAACAATGCGCCCTGCCCACTGCCACTTAAGGTTCGGAATTCTGGGTATACACCAGTATGAAGATATTAAAATATTTATAATAATAACTACTTTTAACTATCTTTGAGTTATGTTTTTATTTATTTTTTAAGCATTTAACTGCTAGATATTTAAATCTAAAGAAAGGATGCGGGTTCGAGTCCCGTCCGCTACCTGGTCCGCGTGGATTTTTTTTCTAGTAAACTTTTCTTTAGATTTAAACATCTAGCAGTTAAATGCTTAAAAAATAAATAAAACATAACTATAATTGCTATTTCTTCTTTCAAATGTTTAATACTTGAAAAAGTATTCATTTGACATTGTGGGTTACCTACAATGCGAAGAGATGGCGCTGCCTTGCAGCTTAAGGCTAGGAAAATTTCGACGCGGCGAATAGGGCCGTGGTAGCATAATGGTCAGTGCATTCGCCCGGTCCCGTCCGCTGCCTGGTCCGGGTCCGTGGATTTTTTTCTAGTAAACTTTTCTTATGTTTGACTTTTTACACTCCGATAAGCTGTCTTTGTAACATTAAAATTGTGTATAATACGAAAACTTGTAGGTAATTAATTGGCTTTATTAATTGAAAATATATAGTTAATAAAAAAAAATAGCTGTAAGCTGTATACAAAAACAAAATATCAAATAATTATATATTTAAGCTTTACAAAAGCTCTTCCTAATCCTGTATTTTGAAAAACAAAGGACTGCTGACGCTTTCGCGCACAAAAATATAACGTCATTAGTGAAACGCTTTTAGAATGTAATTTATTTTAACAATACAATTATAATGCCCGAATAGGTATACGAAAAATAAATAACTAGAATAGAGGTCACATCTTCTCTTTAACACCCATGTTAGTCCATTGAGTAATTTGTAACGACACTAAATACATAGATATATAATAGCTCAAACAAAGAATCCGACAAAGGATAATCAGGATTTATATTCTGGGCACACAGTAGTTAAGGCAAACTTTGAACACCACCAACCTACCAGGTTTCATTGCAAAGTTAGTACTGCTAAACTTAGACAGTTCTCTTTATAAATGAGATGAAGGCAACTACCCAACTACGAGCTAACCTACGATTGTCTAGAATTAATTCAGCCAACCATAGATCCGTAAACGCTTTGATGAAATAGATGATCGACTCATCTAATTTTGACTTATTATGTAAAAAAATATCCTTAGTATCAGGTTTATAAAAGCATGATGAATAAAGTATATTGCTGACGAGGTTTCGAATGGAGCATTATTGTAGACCGAGAATATTGATTAACAAAAAGAGGAGACGCAGCCGAGTCCTTTTAAATAAAGTAAACGACCATTTAAAAAGCACTTGGGAAGTAAATACTTGGCTTCGCCTTGTCTTTCCAATATTATGCGGCCTTCAATTGCTTTCCTCTATTTCAAGTTATGACAGTTAATGCATTATTTTAAACTCTAATACATTAACTGGCCACTAAACGACCCAAACTCTGGCCACTAAAATAAAAACTTTTAAGAAAGCATATATACTTTCGGAGGCATCTATCAGCCAACTAAGTGTTATTAGTATCAACAGCCTGTAGCAAAAATTTATGTAAGGTTTAGCAATAATAATATTTTTTAATAATATAGATGGTTAGTAAATCAGTTTCAAGTCCAAGACTGCATAAACACTTTTAGATCAATGTAACATTTATTTTTAGATAACTCCAAACTCTTTTTGGCTTTAAAATATACTAATAGGTATAAGAATGTAGGCCTGTAGCTCAAGTTCCCGCGTCTAGTTCGGACTTTTGGTATTCTTGTCCAGTGCTTTCCCGCCGCTGTCTAAATACATGGAACCAATTCTGCAGATGTGTTCATCTACAGAACTAAAGATTGCCTAAAATGTACTATCAGCAAAAGACAGAAAACACCTTGTTAATTGGTACTTTTAAATACATATATTTTTTTAAGTTAAAAGGGTAGCAAACAAGCATGTGGCTCGCCTGATATTAAGCTGTCACCATAGCCTATAGACGCTTGCGATAAAAAAAATAATTACTCACGCCTTTGCCTACCCTGATTCCATCCCCTACCCCGTGGAGCCCTGGAACCTTACTCACCTCCAGAAACACAACACCACTAAAAGTTAGTGTATATTACTGTGTCTTTCTTCATTATTTCTACAAAGTCTACATACTCTTGGTTCGTTGTGTATTATATTCATACATTGTGTTTGTCCGCGTACACCCACTGTGGTCTTCTGTAAGGTGGAAGTTACTTCCCCAGACGGGTGCTCCAATTCGAGCGGGAAATCCCCTTTGCCGTACCGCTCTTAAAATAGTAGCGTTTGTTCCAGAGGGGCGCGTTCCAGCGCGGATGTTGCGAGATGGGTGGGCCGCGGCGCATGTCCAGTGCGCTGCTGCTGCCCTTCGCGCTGCTCGCGCTGCCGCCCTCCGACGCTGCCAACACCACAACTTACAGGGTACGGACCTTAAAACGTTCGTTCCAGAGGGGCGCGTTCCAGCGCGGATGTTGCGAGATGGGTGGGCCGCGGCGCATGTCCAGCGCGCTGCTGCTGCCCTTCGCGCTGCTCGCGCTGCCGCCCTCCAACGCTGCCAACACCACAACTTACAGGGTACGGACCTTAAAACGTTCGTTCCAGAGGGGCGCGTTCCAGCGCGGATGTTGCGAGATGGGTGGGCCGCGGCGCATGTCCAGCGCGCTGCTGCTGCCCTTCGCGCTGCTCGCGCTGCCGCCCTCCGACGCTGCCAACATCCCGACTTACAGGATGCGGACCTTAAAACGTTCGTTCCAGAGGGGCGCGTTCCAGCGCGGATGTTGCGAGATGGGTGGGCGGCGGCGCATGTCCAGTGCGCTGCTGCTGCCCTTCGCGCTGCTCGCGCTGCCGCCCGCCGACGCTGCCAACATCTCGACTTACAGGATGCGGACCTTAAAACATTCGTTCCAGAGGGGCGCGTTCCAGCGCGGATGTTGCGAGATGGGTGGGCCGCGGCGCATGTCCAGTGCGCTGCTGCTGCCCTTCACGCTGCTCGCGCTGCCGCCCTCCGACGCTGCCAACATCTCGACTTACAGGATGCGGACCTTAAAACGTTCGTTCCAGAGGGGCGCGTTCCAGCACGGATGTGTTCCAGCGAGGTGGGTGTGGTCCCGATTGTTGCTTATTTAACAGAATTATAGACTACTGGACTTGTATTTTTCTTTTTAGCTTCTATTTGAAGATATTTATATTTTAATCAACCGGTTTTGGTTTTTTAAATTTACCTTCTTTTTAATTTCAATAACTAAGAAATGGGGTGCTATTAATAATATTGTCATTTTTAAACCATTTTTGTTACGGGATCTATCTCCAAATTGAAACTAGTTAGGAATGTGAAATTTTGTTACATGATGTCCTATTTTGAAACAACAAATACTGAAAACGCCGATGACTAATGAACTTTGTTAGTTTTGACAAAAACAAACAGATGATTTTTCCTTTCGCGGTTTGTTGTGCGGATCCCTTTGTGTGTGAGTCCGATTCGCGCTGGTCCGGTTTTTTATGTTAAAAGGGTGGTAAACAAAAGCGTATAGCCCGCCTGTTGGTAAGCGACCACCATAGCCTATAGAGACTTTGCGATACAATAAATATCACTCGACCCGTTTGTTGCCCACCCTAATCTAACCGCCTACCCCGTTGAGCCGTGAAATCTTACTTATCGAAAAACAACACCACCAAAAGGTAGTATTATTTTACTGTGATCTTCTGTAAGGTGGAGGTTATTTCCCCAGATGGCGGAAAATCCGTCCTACCTCTGTTCAAAGCCCTATCTATCATTCTAGGGACTGAAGAACCTAGGTGGCGTACCGAGAATGCGGGTGAGCTCGTAGTGCCCCGTAAGGACTAGCCACGCACCCGCCGGTGGTGGAACTTTTAAAACCTTAGTTCTATTCCCAGCAGCGCATTCACCAAATTAGCGGAAGACGCTAGTTAGAATCCAGTCTGGATGCTAAGACCAATGACATTCTTGCTATTCGTTAAGTATAAAAAATAAGCAATAAATAAATGAAATTAATCAACGTAATTTTTAAGTGTATCAAACATTCGATTTTATTCAGTGCGAAATTAACATGCTTGCCACTTATAAATACTAAGTTTTTACTTATTATGAAACTTCCATAATAGAGAATCCTTTATCTATGCCATAGAAAGAAGAGAGATAAAACATATTTTTATAGAGAATAATCTAGTTGTTATAATAAAATTAATAATAAAGATGCATCCGAAATAAAAGATTAAAGTGCTCTCCGGAAAGTGATTTGCTATTATGGCGTTCCTGAATATTAGATTTACTGTGAAATTCCCAGAAATTGCTTACGAAACGTACAATGTTTTAATAATATATCTGCTATTCCTTGAAAATTTTCCGTTTCCGGTATACTTACTTTACTCTTTGTTTTTCGTCAATTTATGATGAGTGCATTAATTTTCCCAGAAAGACAACACTACTTCCGAAACAAGGATCATCGGAGTTAGAGCTGTAACAAACCGTATGTATTCGTTACCAAGTATCGGGTACACCACTTGACTTTAAGTAACGAATCGTTACTCACGAATACATTTCGTTACTCGTATGTATCGTACTGATGATGTCAATTTGATTCTGTGTATGGACGTACGAATTCAACTGCACATATAACGTTGATGCTTGAATTGAAACGGTTTGCTCATCTTGCGTTGTATCATCTTAATGTTTCGTGATGAACAAATACTTAATATTGTTCGTTGAATCGAATGTATTTAAACACTGGTTACCAAAAATGATTGTTTATACAACATCAAAGTATACTGCAAGAGCTCAACAGTTAAATAAAAAGTATGAATGTGATGACAGTTGAACTTCAATCTAGTATACCATAATAGGTATAGTAAGTGAGGAAAGTGATTAGACAAAGGTTGAAACTGAAATTGAAAAAAGTTTAATTTAAACGTACAACGTCATATTATACGTAACTCGACTTGACTCAATCAATGCAGTGCTTCACACTATAGTAATATAAATTATTTACGGGATTGTTACCATGTACCTTGTTTTAGCGAGTTTCCGATATTTCGGCACTGTTGCAAGCGCCATGATCACGGAGTAACTGGTAACATGGTAACAATCCCGTAAATAACTTATATTACTATAATGTTAGTGACCATGAAAGTTTAAAACAATATATTGCTTCATACTAGTATCGAAAGTAACGATATGATAGTAACGAGTATTGATTGTTATAGTAACGAATACATACGAGTACCAAATATCTCGTTACTTTTACAGCTCTAATTGGAGTTGCTAAATTTTGGACCACTTACTCGACGGCTAACCATTAATTTGTTTAAATTTTACTGTCGCCGACCAAACTCCATTGAGCTCCCTAAAAACTTAGTAGCTTTATTATTGAGGTACAAAAATGAATATCCAGTGAAATTCTTTGACGCGAACCTTTTTCTTGGTTACCAAAAAGATCTGGAACGAAATTCCCTCGGCGTTTTTCCCTCTTAGCTATAATATAACGGTTTTCAGAAGGCAGGTAAACCTTTTCCTTCAGAGCCGCCGACGCATGAGTGGTACCCCTGGTGCTGCATGTGTCAATGGGCGGCAGCTATCTTACCATTAGATGGACTACCAGCTCGTTTGCCCGCATTAACATAAATATAGTATCCGAACTGTACTGCAGCGAACACAGAATTTATTATTTATTTTTTTTATTTTTGGAGTTTACTCCTTAAGAACTGATTTTCATATAAGGCCCCCGGTATGAAAAAAATATGAGGAGTAAAATCTACTGAACAAATGACCTCGTTACGTTTTTGTGCGCAACCTCATCTGCGCACCTTTCACTTTTCAGTTTTGTGTGTTTGTATATTTGTGTATAGCCAGCGTCAATCAACCACGACAATAAAGAAGTATAGTTATATTTCAACGATAGAATCGATTGAATTGATATCTATTGAAAAGAATCGATCGATAAAAACAAATCGCGAATTCTATAATAAATGATTAGCGGACATTTGACGTAAAACAATATTTCTTAAGAACGGTTTAGTCTTTTTTCTCTCTTGTTCTCTTTTGACCAAATGAAAGTGTCTCTATCGTTTTTTCACAATGAATGAGAACTTCAAAACCGTTTTTCTCATAAATAAATAAAAATTTTCAAAAAAACAGCGCTTAGGACGTCGGTAGATAATTCTATTATATACGGACGTATGAAGCGATTTTTTGAAAATTTCCACTTATTTATAAGAAAAATCCTTTCAAATGTACCCATCAACAGCTCTCAAATTGATAAATTATAGTAAAAAAGTTATTTTAAAAATTTACATGTTGCAATTTTAAAAAGCTATGAATGTGAATTTAAATAATAAAAATACTTTTTTCATATTATCTAATTTATTTATTATAAAAATTCTGAAAATTATCACGCCTTGAATTTTTTTTAATACGCTTTTATTAGCTTTTGGTGTATCTCTACTTGTAACCGACTTCTTCGGACTTGATTTTGTTTTGTGTCTGTTCAAAGACAATCGTGTTAAGAGTGGTAAACTCCGGTCGTGCGTCGGAGCTGACACACACATTTTTTTTTTTTATTTATTCAGTATTTTGGAAAAGAGTTTCATTTGAAAAGCGAACGTGCACTACCTGATCAGAGAAACAACTTTCATAAAATAATGATACAGAATCATGTCATAAAATACAAGATAGATCCGGATAAATCCAATTGAAACAATTGAGAAAGAAAGCTTATACCTAGTAACGTTATTACACTCCAATCCCTACCTTATTGGAAATATAATAAATAATGAGAAATAAAGTTCGGTGAGATTTATCATAACTTTAACAATATGGGGTCAACCAATAGGTAATTCTTAAAACGAAACTATTAATACGTTCCTTCTTTCTATAGACAGATAATGTATAACACAACACATTGAACATTTCATTTAATAAACCTATTGAATATAAAGATATTTAGTTAATAGAAATTCTTTAAGCGGGTACCTACTTACCAGACTGTATTTCAATTAGCACAGGTTACTATCCGGGTAAAACCACTACTAGTATCACCACTATCGATCAGTAAATTTTTAATTTAGCTCTGAGAGAAAACAAAATTTTGGATATCACACACTTATTGAAAATACAGTCGCAATAGGGTTGCTAACCGTACTCTAAAATAGAGTGTTTTCCTCATGTTCTTCTAGGCTTACTTTATAATCTCGACACCAATAAAGTACGATTAAATACTCTATTTATAAAGAGCAACAGAAAATAAGTATTTAAAGACAAATAAATTATGAAGAAAATTAATAAGGTTTTTTTTATGCTGTGTACTTTATTTTAGTTCTACCAAAACTGAAAAAAATACTTTTTCACTCTAAAAAATGGTATCTATCTTAGTCGCAAGCATGGACGCGAAAACAACCTTCTAGTTTGA